ATATATATATTATATGACCATTACACCCACATTGCGTACACTGCTATTGGCTCCTTTCATAGCTGTGTGTTTTTACTTATTATAAATATTATTTGTCTCCATTTATTCAAATATGTTGCTATTTATGACCAATTTTATGTTTCTATTACTATTTATAGACATGAGTTTCTATTTATGGACATTTGTCTCCTCTATCTATGCCCATGTATTTCTACTCATGGATATTTCCGTTCCTTTCCTTACCCACCTGTGGTTAGTCATTACTTTGTTCCCGTAGTCTTCAGAGGGACAAGAAAACCCAACAAAAACACATTAAAACATCAGCTGATACTGACAGAGAGTCTCTCCTCTTTGTTAATTTGTTGACGTAATATGGTACATCGCTACCTTAGGCCGGTCCCAGGGTAGCTCTGTAGGTCTGACCTGTATGTAGCTCGCCTAGCTCGCACCGTGCAAATGAACGTATACATAAGGCCAGTCCCAGAGTGGCTCTGTAAGCCTGACCTGTAGCTCGCCTAGCTCGCACTGTGCAAATGAATGTATACATTATCGTGTGAGCGTCGCTGTGTCGTCTGTTTTTTTTTGTCAGCTGAGCTGCGCGACGCGTCAGACGTGCTATTTAACTGTGTTGTAAAACACGTCGGACATGTGTCGCACGCAGCCTCGCTTCGTTATCATTTTCGACTGAAATTCTTCACAGATCATCAAAATCAGCAAAAAGTAAGTATTATTAGGTGTCTACTATTTGATATTGATGCTAGCTTCAACACTTGGCCACAAAATCCCAAGAAATGCACTTTATCCTACATCAAAATGGTCGCTTTTAAGGACAAGCGGGCTAACCCAGATTTCGGGGTTTTTCAGAAAGCTTGACCTACACCAAAAGTGGGCATTGCCCTACCTATAGGAGAAGTTTGGTTTCATTGGTGTGTATATTTGTTTGGTTATAGAGAAAACCTCCCTGTCTTTTACAGAGACTGTATAAGGATCCACAATCTAACTTCGATTTTCTCAAAACGGCATTTATCGGGATAGCTCCCTTGTGCTTAAAAGCGACCAAATTTCGAATCGAGAGGTTGACCTAGTTTCGACTGTTTGTTTTAATTCGTAGGCCTGTGTGCTTCTTCTAGCTAGTGTGGCTGTGCTGACCCGCAGAGGGCGCTCACTCAGACACAGAAGCCAACACACAGTACGGATGTGCTGACACGCATACGGCGCTCACTCAGAAACAGAAGCCAACACACAGTACGGATGTGCTGACACGCAGACGGCGCGCGCTTGGCGAGCTACAGGTCAGACCTACAGGTCAAACGTACAGGTCAGACCTACAGAGCCACTCAGGGACCGGCCTTAAAAGTACTAAGGTCTATCTGACAGTTTGGGCCAACATTTTGTTAAAGCGACTCATTGCCCAGCCCTAGTGACGAGGAGATATAGGGTACACAACTCTAGGATTTCTAGAGTGTGTCTAAGAGGGCTAATTATTGTATCCCTTCCTTGTAGTTGACTCTCGTGGGTCACATTCAAGATAATAATAATAATCAGAATATGAAAATTATAATAATATGATAACAATAATAATAATAATAGTTGTAGTTGTAGAAGTAATAGTAACAATGACAGCAAAA